GGGGCGGGGGAGGCGGACGAGGAGTAGGAGGAGGAAGAGGAGGAGGAGGAGGAGAAGAGGAGAGAGGTGAGGAGGTGGAGGAGGTGGAGGAGTGGAGGAGGTGAGGAGGTGGAGGAGGAGGAGGAGGAGGGAGAGGACAGGAGGGGGCGGTGGACGGGGACGAGAGGAGGAGGAGGACAATGATGACGACGACGAGGACGAGGACGAGGATGATGCCGAGGGAGTGGGCCCTTCGGGCGGAGGGCGCCCCTCGGGCGGGCCCTCGGCGGCGCGGCCTCTCGAACAGGGCCCTCGGAAGGCCACGCGGCCCGTCAGAGGGGCGCCCTTGCGGGGGGGGGGGCGGCGGGGGCCGCGCGCCTGCCTGGGCCCCTGCGCGCGCGGGGGGCCAGGCAGGCGGGCAAAGAACCCGGGGTCGCTCAGGCTCGCCTGGTCGTCGTCCTCCTCCTCCTCCTCCTCCTCCCTCCTCCTCCTCCTCCTCCTCCGCCTCCTCCTCCTCCCCACCTCCTCCTTCTGCCCTCCTCCTCCTCCTCCTCCTCCTCCTCCTCCTCCCTCCTCCTCCCTCCTCCTCCTCCTCCTCCTCCTCCTCCTCCTCCTCCTCCTCCTCCTCCTCCTCCTTCCTCCACCTCCTCCTCCTCCTCCTCCTCCTCCTCCTCCTCTCTCCCTCCTCCTCCTCTCCTCTCCCTCCTCCTCCTCCTCCTCCTCCTCCTCCTCCTCCCTCCTCTTCCTCCTCCCTCCTCCTCCTCCTCCTCCTCCTCCTCCAAGACCTCCTCCTCGTCCTCCTCCTGCTCCTCCTCCTCGTCCTCCTCCTTCTCCCCCTCCTCCTCATCCTCCACGTCTCGATGGGGACCCCCAGGGGAAGTGAGAAGGGGCGTGCCTTCTCAAAAGGCTCGGAGTGCCTCGGCCCCTGAAAGAAACTCTCTGAACGTTCCCCGACCTTCTCATTATTACGTCCCCCCCTCACTGCAGCGGGTCCTCCTTCACAACATTGTCAATCTCATTACCACCATCATCACCACCATCACCACCACCGTCATTACCATCGCCATCACCATCATCACCACCAGCACCACCAACAGCATCACACCCGCCACCATCGCCATCACCATAGCCATCGCCATCGCCATCGCCATCGCCATCGCCATCATCATCATCATCATCATCATCATCATCATCATCATCATCATCATCATCATCATCACCACCAGCATCATCACCAGCATCATCATCATCATCATCATGGTCATTGTCATCATCATCATTATCATCAGCATCATCATCAGCAGCATAGGCATCAGCATTAGCATTAACACCAGAGTCACCATCATCATCATCATCACATTCATCATCATCATCATCATCATCATCATCATCATCATCATCATCATCATCATCGTCATCAACCTCACCATCGGCATCATCATCATCCGCATCACCAACATCCTCATCATGATCACCGTCCTCACAACTATCTTCGTCATCGCCATCACCATCGTCATCGCAAATGCCACCACCGTCGTGATCGTCATTATAATCGCAGTCGTACCCATCACCACCACCACCATCACCAACACCCATCTTTATCAGCATTATCATCATCACCAGCATCATCGTCCTCCTCATTATCATCATCCTCATCACCACAATCATGATACTGAGCATGATCATCATCATCATCATCATCATCATCATCATCATCATCATCATACTCCTCATAATCATGAGCAGCAGCACCATCATCGTCATTAGCATCAGCATCATCATCATGATCGCCATACTCATCATCATCACCATCAGCATCGCCATCACCACCATCATCATCATCATCATCATCATCATCGAATCATCAACCACATCATCAGCATCATCAACCTCATCATCATCATAATCATCAGCATCACCATCATCACCATCATCATCACCAGCATCAACATCATCATATCAGCGGCAACAACCTCAACATCATCATCAGCAACATCATCAACATCAACTTCATCATCAACAACATCAACATCACCATCAACAACATTCTCATCCTCATCATTATCATCATCATCATCATCATCATCATCATCAACAACATCAGCATCAACATCCCCTGACCGCCTCCCGCCGTGATAAAACACGACACATGGCTCATGGCCAAAAACCTTCGGCCTCTGCGTGCGAGCAAAGACATGTGTACGTGTACGCCTCCTGCGCTCACGCGTACACGAGCGACCGAGTTCAAACGTAGGCCAGCGGAAGCTGACCAGGCACACACCGGTCGAAATGGGGTAGAAACACATGAAGTGGGATGGCGTTGGGAATAGATTGGGCTTCCGCCCGCCTCTGGCAGATGAGGGGCGAGGAGAACCCGCGCGATCCTTGAAGTAGGAAGGCGCCCAAAGCAAATTGGGACCTGGGCAACCAAAAAAACACCCACTTGTATAACGACCAGCATGAACGTGTACTCCAAATCCCTTATTAATCGTCCCCCGGGTCTGGTTTTTTAAGGCGCCTCTTTTGTAACTGGGAGGTTCCGGTTTATCAGGGCGCTTTCTTCGGACTGGATATTGGGGGGTCTGGTTTGTGCAAGCGCCTCGCATCTGGAGGGGGGTCCGGCTTTTTTTGAGGGGGGTCGCTCAGGCTCGCGTGGCCATCCTCCTCCTCCTCCACCCCCTTCTCCTCCTCCCCTCCTCCTCCACCTCCTCCTCCTCCTCATCCTCCTGCTGCTCCTCCTCCTGCTCCTCCTCCTTCTCCTGCTCCTCGTTTAACAAACGATTTGGAAACGTATGTTGTTGGCCTCTGACTCTGCGGGGCCCTTGCCGGGGCCCCCAGACCGTCCGGGGAGGGGGCCCAGGCCAGGGGGGCGTCGGAGGTGGAGGGCCCCCTGGAGGCCAGAAGCGGGAGGACAACGTCCACGGGCCAGGGCCTTCAGATACAACAGGAGCTCGACCACACGAAACCCATTGGTTTCTGGTGGGGATACAATGCAACGTCCACAGGCCACGGCCGTCAGATATAAAGTGCAGTGCGAGCGCGGCCGCAAGAAACCCTCGCAAGGAACCCAACCCACGAGAACCCGCGCGCGAAGTGCACCGGAGGGGAAACCTGGAGCACTCTGAACGCGGCAGCTCCTTCAACGGCCGCGGGAAGTCGCCGCGCAACGCGCGGAGCGAAGAAACCCAGGATACCCTGACGGAGAGCATATGGTTTCTTTATGCGCGCCCCCACGGTGGGAGTTCGACCACACGGAACCCAGTGGTTTCTGGTGGGAGAGTCAAGCTTACCATCGCAGAACCGTCGAAGCCCAAGAAACCAAAGGCACCCTGGAGGCAAGCAGGGTGCTCTTTGGTATGGGCTGCCAGCGTGGAGCAACAAACGACGGCATAACACACAAGTTTCCGGAGCTCCGCGCGGAAATCTTGGATCTGCGCAGAGCTCCTCCCGTGAAGCGCGGGGAACGCCAGGGGCGGCGCCAGAAGCGCCGCCGGGGCGGCCCCGCACCGATCCAAGAAATCCGCGCGGAACTCCGAAAGGTAATGTCTGTGCCGTTCTTGTTCTTCGATGAGATAAGGAAGAGTGGGGGATGGTCGAACAGCCAGCCACGAGCACTCTCGCGTCCAGAGGTTTCACGACGCGACAACGGCGGCGCCTCCGGCACCGCCCCTGACGCGCTCATGCCATGCAGATGTTATTTCGTTGTTCGAACGTGGTCTGGGCGTCGTGATCATGTTCTTTTCCCTCAAAAAAGGAAGGTTTAATGAGCATGTCTGTTTTGTTTATGTTCACGCCGAGCGTGTGCGCCCAGTTTGGGTCCTCTGGGTCCTGGCGGGGCCGACCTGGCTCGAGAGGTGCGGCGGGGCGATGGCGTCATGCGGTCGTGACTCTTGCGTTCTTCTGCACTCTGTCTCGCGGGGTCGGGCCATAATGTTGCGCGCTGTGAAAACAACGTGGTTCGGGATGCTGACCTCGCCTCGCTGACGGAGATGAAAACTATAACGCTGCGTGCTGGGCGGCAGGGGGCGCCGGCTATGGCAACCACTGCTGCCGTTCGCTGCTGACCATCTGTTCGGGGCATCATGACGACGGCTTGTCACGAATATAGGTCGACGCTTACATCATCGTCGTTAAACCCTTCTTCATCGTCATGATACCACCGTCGCCACTAGCATCGCTGGCTGTGCTAGATTCGTCCCCTCTCGTCTCCACCGCATGTGTTGTTTCATTCTCTCTCGTTCTCTTTCTCTCTCTCTCTCTCTGTTTCTTTGTCTATGTTTCTTCATCTGTCCCTCCATTATTGCAAACTCTTTTTACGCGAAGCACAACTGGATACCAACGCGTGTGGCACAGCAACCTTTGATGCCCGCGACAACGCCGACCATTGCGACGGACGACGACCACGACGACGAAGGACGACTACGACTGCGGCGGCGGCAACAGGCGACGACGACATGAACATCGTTCTAAGCGACCCCTATCCCCATGGGCGTGGTCTGGGCCCCACTGGCCGATATACCCCCTAGATGGGGATATAGACTCTTCCTGCGGGTCTCGAAGGAGTATATCCCCATGTGGGGTGTTGAGATGGTGGGGGCCTGGATGGGGATGGGGATGCGGTGGGGGCATTTGTTTTATCTCTCCACGTCCGAGGACTTGCACGCACCAGCAGAATTCTAGCAATTGGCCCTTGTTTTCTCGGCGGGGAGCCACACCCCCGCTAAGGAGAAGAAAGAAAGCAGCGGGGGCTACCAACACGGTTCACGACACTACTCCTGGTGTGCCAACGCGCTGCAGCCTGCCAGCGGCTCGAAGAAAGTCAGGGACGCATCGTACTCACAACCACAAACAACAATGGGCCGGCACAGGAAGAAGGACGCGCCATCGCTCTGGCGTCAAACTACTGAATACGAGCACGAGCGCGAATATCGCCATCCCACAAGCTCTGGATTCGCGGATGAGCAATCTCTCGATAAAAAAAGGCACCAGTCGCTTAGCAGGACGCGCGCGTCCAGGTCGTGCTACGTGACGAGGTGAACATAGACCGTTTTCACCACGCACCTGGCCTGGTTCTCGCTGTTTGCCGCCCAATCGGCCACGCTGGCTAAGACCGCGCGCGCGCGGTGTGTGAGGTCAGCGGCAGTCTCCGCGCCCGCAGACCTCTGCAGCCTGGACTTCCACGCCTCCACCGCCACAGCGTCTGGGGCCATGATCCCCCACACATGGGAGGCGGCGGGCTCGTGCCAATCGCAGCCCCGCAGGTCGGCACCGCCCCACTCGCGACCAACAGGCGGGGCCTGCAACCTCGCGCCGTCGAGGTCCGAGCTGACCCTGGGAGGCCCCCGCGCACCCCGCGAACGCCACCTCGGTCCTCTGCGGGCTCGCTTCGCCCATGGACGAATCAGCCCGCTCCGCGAGCGAGCTCGCCTCCTTGGCCTCGGACGGGCACGATCTGCTATGGGCGTAGCCGCCGCCGTCGGAGCCGACCAAACTGCCCACCAAGCCGCCCTCGATCTTCACCGTCGCGTCCGAACCAGCACCGACGAAGTCGATCGCGTGCCGCGCGCCTGGCGCCAGCGCCACGGCCAGCGGCTCTGCGAGCGGCTGGACGCCCTGGACGCGCTCGCACGAATCCGCCTCCACAGACGTGCCGTCCGCCTTCTCGCAAGCCATCTACTACTCAGCCTTCGCCTAAGCGCGCGCCTCCGCGGCGACCTGGGCGCGCTGTGGGACCATCTCCTTTGCCGACCGGGAGCGGGGCGCGCCGCCGACCTCCGTGGAAAAGCCGCCCTCGCCGTCGCTGCCGATCGCCGCCCCGAAGACGCCGCGACTGTCCTGGGCGAGCCCGACGTCCGGGTGGCTGGCCACGATCCTGGGTTTGCTCAACCGACCGAGCCGAACAGCCAGGAGGGCCCCAGAAGGCCTGCGATCTCGAAGCAGCGCCTTGGCCTCGGAGACGCCGAGCTTGCCACTGCGGCCTGCGGCCTGCCCCACCACCAGGGGCATCTTCTCCGTGTCCTCGAGGAGCGAGCCCGCGCCGCCGACGCTGGCATCGAACTCCGCAACGGCAGGGTTGCCCCCTGCTCGCGCCGCCCCACGCGCCGCGGCGGCGACCAGCGTGGCGAGCAGCTTCGCCGAACCGCCCGGCTGCGTCGCCGCTGCGGCAGTGCCGCCCACGTCAGCGGCCACGGGGCATCCCGCGAGCAACTCCGCTGGAACCGCCGAAGCAGTCATGCCGCGCCGAGCGCCAAGACTCCACGAGGCTCCGGCGGCTCCGGCGCCCAAGGGCGGCCCGCCGTTCCAGACCCCCGCCGAGTGGCCTGAACCCAAACCGTCTGCGGATGCAGGCTCTCTTGCACAAGCGACGACAAGGAACGAACAGGGGGAAAAGCGGAATAGAAACCAGAAAAAAAGGAACCAACCTTTACGTCTTACGCCTGGCTCGCTGCGGTCGCCCCTCGGGCACCCGTGGTGACGAGCTTCAAGCGCGGCCTGCGCGAAGTCGCCGTCGGGGTGCCCGAACGGCAACCACTCCGCGGTGCCCAGCGGCGCGGCCCCTGGCGTCGCGGCTCCGCGCCGCGGCTTACCTCCGCGCGCACGACGTCGCCGCGCGGTTCACGGGTCCCGAGGACCTCCACCACAGGGCGAGACGTCGTGGTCAGCGCCGTTCACGTTCGCGGCCACCCTTCGCGCGCGGCTCGAGGTCGGGCGGGCACGGTGCCGCCGGCGTCGGCACGCGCGGCGGGCCCTGCGGCGGCGATCGCGCGGAGCGGACGGCGGCGCGGGCCTAGCCGACACACGGCCTTGAGCCCAAGTGGTGCGGACGGTGAGGGCATTTGATATAGAACCATTGGACAAGAAATCCAGGGTCTGAAAACCCGGTGAAACACCAATTGAGGCTTGGCCATGGATATCACGGCCGCCGTCATCAGATAAGGAATCCTGCAGGGTCTGAAACCTCCTGGGCACATTCCTTAACCAACCCCACTGCCGTAAGGGTCGTTGAAACGATACTGCCGACAGACGACGACAGCGTCGACGAACAGACCCAGCGACGACGGCGACGGCGACGGCGACGGCGACGACGCCCGACGCCCGACGACGCCGCCTGCATGGGGGCGGGCTGCGGTAGCGGTTGCGGCAACTGCTGCGGCTGCGCAGCGTCCTGCCGCTGCGGAGACGGCCGCCCTTCTCCCCCCGCCAAACGTGCAACTTTCGCTTGGAACTTCCTCCCATTGGCTACACGCAAGATTTGGACGCCCGAAACGGGTACGGAAAGAAAGGGTACAATGCCCAACAACAAATGTTGTCCCAAACCAGAAGCGGCTGTGGGGCCAAGCCGGCTCCTGCCTCAAATGGACACAGGCCGCCACGGCGCGAACAGCGAGTCCTGTTTAAAATGAAGAGGAACTGCTGCTGGGCATTGAACCCGTTCTCTCCGTACCCAGTTCGTTCGTGTCGACAGGGTTGACCCAAGGTAAAAGTTACCCTTGGTGCGCAACTGTTTGGAGGCCGCGGGGATGCCGAACCCAAGCGAGCAAAACGCCACTGCCGCCTCGCGTCCGGCGATCGGGGGACCCCATTGGGCCCGAACCGAAAGTCATTTCAGCGAAAGATCACTCTTCGGTCTTGTCGATCCAACACGAACGGTTTCCAGAACAATTCTCTGGCGGTTTCCCGTGATCCCCCCCCCGTTTCCTCCCTCCTCCATATTTTCCAGCCCCCCCTTCTCCCCCTCCTGGACGACGAGAGTGGGGTTAGTTCACTCAACAGAACGATGAACCAATGGCTGGCGACGCGGCTCGTGTCAGCACGGCTCCTCGTGTCTGTCTTCCTCCATTCCTCATCCCCACCCCTCATCATCCTCCTCGTCCCCCTCGTCCTCCTCGTCCTCGTCCTCCTCCTCCTCCTCCTGCGCTCCTCCTCGTCCTCCTTCTCCTCTCCTGCACGTCTCCCCTCCTCCTCCTCCTCCTCCTCCCTCCTCCCCTCGCTCCTCCCGCAACCCCTCCCTCCTCCTCCCCTCCTCTCCTCCTCCCCTCCTCCTCCTCCTCCCTCCTCCTCCTCCTCTCCTCTCCTCCTCCTCCTCCAGCTCCTCCTCCTCCTCCTCCTCCTCCTCCTCCTCCTCCTCCTCCTTCTCGCCCTCCTCCTCCTCAGAGGTCCCGACCCTTTCTCCGGGGCCGGTTTCTCATCGCGATGAATCGTTCGCTGACGGTCCCGAGACCCTGCGAAGGCCCCCAGAGGCCGAAGACGGCCCCACACCTCCTGTCATGATCTCTGTTGCAGCGCGATTCTGTATGGGTCCTCCGCTGCGAGGGGAACGAGGAAGGGAAGCTCGGCGCCCTGCAGTGGACAGCCTGCAGAAGCCCGAGAACGAAACTTTCACAGCACCCCGAAACCGTCAAAAAGCAAGCGGGAAACATATGACACGTGTGACAGCATAATGGTCTTTGCCCTTAGACAGGGTCTGCTCAGTCCCCCTCCTCCTCTCGGGCGGGTGGTAATGGGGGGTGACCTAAATGGGGGGTGGAGAAAATTGCATCTTTAGGACCTTTTTCTTCACCTCCCGTTGAGGTCACCCCCCATTACCACCCGCCCGATCTTCTTCCTCTTCCTCCTCTCGGCGGCGAGCGAGGGGGGGAAATGATAAGGAAAAGGCTTTCTCAGAAGGCGGCGGGACTTCTCAGAAGCCCTGGCGCCCAACGATCGCCTCCCCCCCCCAAAAAACAAAAAAATTATAGCCGGAGTGCAGTATCCCCAAACAGGGTTTTTAGACCCACTGCGGTTTCCAAGGTCGATTGCGTGCCCGCCTAGTGCGGGCTGGCATGGCATGTTAAAACATGCCTCCTCCTCCTCCTCCTCCTCCTCCTCGTCCACCTCCTCTTCATCCCGAAAGGCATCTCGGAACCCAGAGTTGCGAGGATGTCTCCAGCGTAACGGGCTGGACCACCTCGCGCGCGGCATTTCGGACCCCAGAGTTGCGACGATGTCTCGGGCGAAACGTGCTGCGAGGAAGTCTCAGGCGAAACGGGCCGGACCACCTCGAGCGCGGCGTCTCAGAGCTCCGAGTTGCGGGGGCCTCCTGGTGCCTCCTGGGGCCTCCTGGGGACCTCCTGGGGCTTCCTCCCGGGCCTCCTGTGGCCTCCTGAACTCCACCTGAGGTTTCCTGAAGCATCTTGGGGCTCCCAGGGGGGATATCTAACCTGTGGCCGTTTGGGCCTCTCCAAATACAGGGGGGGCCACAGGAGCAGGAAAAATCAACGAATCGACACCGGATGTGTATTAACTTGACACGTTCTGATAGAGGGCCTCCTGGGGCCTCCTGGGAGCCTCCTGGGAATCTCCTGCGGACCCCTGGGGCCTGTCCTGGGCGTCCTGCGGCCTCCTGAAGCTCTCTGGGACCTCCCCCTCCTCCTGCCTGCTCCCTCATGCACATCATCCGCCTCCTCCTTCTCCCTTCCATCTCCTCCTCCTCCTCCTCCTCCTCCTCCTCCTCCTCCTCCACCTCCTCTTCATCGCGAACGGCATTTCGGAGCCTAGAGTTGCGAGGATGTCTCCAGCGTAACGGGCTGGACCACCTCGCGCGCGGCATCTCGGACCCCAGAGTTGCGACGATGTCTCGGGCGAAACGTGCTGCGAGGAAGTCTCAGGCGAAACGGGCCGGACCACCTCGAGCGCGGCGTCTCAGAGCTCCGAGTTGCGGGGGCCTCCTGGTGCCTCCTGGGGCCTCCTGGGGACCTCCTGGAGCTTCCTCCTGGGCCTCCTGTGGCCTCCTGAACTCCACCTGGGGTTTCCTGAAGCCTCTTGGGGCTCCCAGGGGGGATATCTAACATGTGGCCGCTTGGGCCCCTCAAAATACAGGTGGGGGGGGCACAAGAGCAGGACAAATCAACGAATCGACACCGGATGTGTATTAACTTGACACGTTCTGATAGAGGGCCTCCTGGGGCCTCCTGGGAGCCTCCTGGGAATCTCCTGGAGACCCCTGGGCCTGTCCTGGGCGTCCTGCGGCCTCCTGGTGCCTCCTGGGCCTCCTGGGGACCTCCTGGAGCTTCCTCCTGGGCCTCCTGTGGCCTCCTGAACTCCACCTGAGGTTTCCTGAAGCATCTTGGGGCTCCCAGGGGGGATATCTAACCTGTGGCCGCTTGGGCCTCTCCAAATGGGGGGGGGGGGGCACAAGAGCAGGAAAAATCAACGAATCGACACCGGATGTGGATTAACTTGACACGTTCTGATAGAGGGCCTCCTGGGGCCTCCTGGGAATCTCCTGGGGGCCCCTGGGGCCTGTCCTGGGCGTCCTGCGGCCTCCTGGACCTCTCTGGGGCCTCCTGAGGCTCGCAGGGTCCCATGGAGGATATGTAACATGTGGCCTTCTGGGCCCCCAGGCTGGACCACCTCTTGCGCAGCATCTGAGAGCTCAGAGTTGCGAGAATATCTTGTGCGAAACAGGCCGGACCACCTTGCGCACGGCATCTCAGATCTCAGAGTTGCAAGGATTTCTCAGGCGAGACGGGCCGGACCACCTCGCGCAGGGCATCTCAGAGCTCAGAAGTTCGAGGATGTCTCAGGCGAAACGGGCCGGACCACCTCGCGCGCGGCATCGGGGAGATCAGAGTTTCGAGGATGTCTCAGGCGAAACGGGCCGGACCACCTCGCGCGCGGCATCTTGGAGCTCAGAGTTGCGAGGATGTCTCAGGCGAAACGGCCCGGACCACCTCTCGCGCGGCATCTGGGAGCTCAGAGTTTCGAGGATGTCTCAAGCGAAACGGCCCGGACCACCTCTCGCGCGGCCTCTCAGAGCTCAGATTTAGGAGGATGTCTCAGGCGAAACGCTCAATCCCGGACAACTCAGAAACGAGAGTTGTGAGGATGTCTCAGGCGAAACGGGCCGGACCACCATATTTGTTTGAGGATGTCTCTGCTTAGCTTTCCCTCGGCCGGAATTAGCTTCTATCACAACAGCACCCCGTTCAGCAAGCTGTTTGGGGAATAACGCCCAACTTCCTCCTCCTCCTCCTCCGCCTCCTCCTCCGCCTCCTCCTCGTCCTCCGCCTCGCTCCTCCTCGCTCCTCCCCGCTCCTCCGCCGGCCCTGACTGAGACCGGCGGGGAGGGCGCGGCGCGGCGTGGGCTCCGCAGGCTCCGCCATGCACTTCCACTGCTTGGTGGCGGGGTCCTGCCGCGTGCGCCCACGGGCGCACGCCCCCCGGTGGGGGGGGGGGGCATGGTGCAGCTGGAG